GCACTGAGTGTACTTGTGAGGACAAGCAAAATTTACCTCCTAAAATTGCTTTGACTTAGGTAGTCCTCTTTCATGTTAAAAATTATACACTTATTTTCTCAAAGAAACAAAGATGCATTTTATGAGGCAATGTTCTTTAAAAGGAAACTTCACAATTTAACAATACGGAAGGAAATCCCATTTTGATTTTTCTCTTTAAACTTCCGTATCATTTGTCAAAGCCCTTTCTTGTCACTTCTAATCAAGATGTATCCAATAAATGTCGTTAAACTTTGTTAAACAAGTGAAAAGTTTAACTATTGGTCCATTTGGGATTTGTGTGTTTTTTTTTTTAAGCAAATAATTCTGAGCATGGTAATTTCATGGATGCATAATAATGGTCTCTTCTGTGGAGATGTGTGTTTTGCTTGCTGGCGGGTCTAGGATGTGCGGCACATACCCTGGGCCTCCTCAGTGCCTCTGCTGTTGTTACTCCTCTTTTCCAACAGACATCGCTGGCTTCTAAAAGTGCTGTGATGTGGCAATCTTAAACCAGGTTAAGGAAAACCTCAAACATTAGAAACAGCAAGAAATCCTAGAGGTAGTTAAATAAAGTCAAGGTCAAACAAAATTTCAATGTTTGTGGGTTCAGTTCATCAGGGTTTCATTTTTTTTTTCAGAAAATGTCATAAAAGAACGATCAAAGAAAACCTCAAGGAACCAAAAATGTAGCCCCCTGGCTCCAGTACCATTCCCAGTATGAAAAAGTAGGCGATGGTCTCTTTCTTACCTAAGCGGCATACATCTGATCACTTGGCAATATTATGGAAACTGTTACTTCCATCACCAGCCATAAGAGTTCAGACGCCCCCGGTAGTTTTAATCTAAAGCTCAGTCATCCTGTTCTTCCTGCTTTGTCAGCTTTTGTGGAGAGTTTGTCCCTTCTTCCCATTAGCAGAAATTTGGTTCACGCCGTTAAACAGTAGCACATTGTTTCCAAACGGCATATCAAGGCTGAAACACAATCTTCAGGTCCTGCAGCCATCAGTAAACCTCTTTAGCTTTGTTCTGGAGTAGAACATAGGATGTCTGCAGAGCCCCTCGACTGAATGACAGCCTTTGAATGCCACTGTTGTGTACTCATACAGAGAGATGTGCAGAGAGGTACATACATAGATGGTGGACATAGAGGTTGTAATAATGCGCACTGCTGGCTCTTGGTCTTTCAGATGGGCTTCGGAAGTACCCCACAATTGAACAGAAAGTCAAGAATTTCATGTGCTTTTAGGATTCTATCAAGGGTTGTGCAACTTATAAAATAAATCCGGAAAGGGAGCCTCAGGGGGTGGTCACCTAAGGGCAGCGGACTAGGGTGTGAACGTGTATCTAGCACAGGCCAACGCTTTTTGCAACCAAAACTGAAAGTGAAAAATTATTTCGGGGCGGGGGGTGTTCCCAGTTTGAGTCTTACCATAATTACATACTGAATTAAAAACTATCGAAAAACTCATTTGGGATATGTAAATTCATGAGATAGATCATCAGCCTCTGATAGATCAAGAGGTGGAAAGCAAAAGGATAGGTTGACTAGGAAATCATAAAACGGGAGAGGGAGGAAGAGAGGGAGAAAGAGAGGGGATGGGGAGAGAATCTCCAACCCAGAGGAAGCCAGCTGTCTGCAGTGCAGCAAAAGCACAAGCACTATTCCAGACCATGGGCATGCGGTCACCCAAAACCTCACACAGGGGAGGTGGGTGGGGGAAGGGAGAGGGTACACACAGGGCACAAGACACAGAGAAGCGCCCACGTTTGAACAAACAAAAACCATCACACGCACCCACACATCAATAATTATAGTAGTGACTACACCACCCGTGCTTTGAGTCACTCATGCATCTCTGCCATCAATTTCAGACCACGTGGTACCAGGTGTGGCAGAGTGTTTTGCATCGCTCAACATGCACACATAGCACAGGATTCTTTCGGTCCAGGCCTTAAGGATGAGCTCCAAAAACACAAGTGCTCAAGATCCTCATTTAAAGGAAATCCCTTCGGTCACCCTAGTCTAAAAATCCCATTCTTACCCTCGCTTTTACATTTACCCTCAATTAGATGCTTAAAAACACATTGTGACTGATTGTTGTTTGGTTTCTTTTTTGGAGAAAATCCATTTGATTTTGAATCATGCCCATGCACTTCTAACCTTCCAATACATGCTTATTCCAACCAGATATTGGTAAGAACAAATGGTCAACATACATCAACAACTGGTATAACTTCATACGTACTCTAGCAACACAAGCTTGAATAAAGTATTTTAATGAGTCTTCAAAGGGAAAGCTTTTTAAAATTTTTTCCGTCTTTATAAAAGAAAAGAGAACTGTAGAAGGAACTCCAGTATGAAAACTTTTAAGACCAATAAGGTAGCCACGAGAGGCTGACCTACTATGTCTTGTCATTTGAGTTGCCAAGTTCTCAGACCACGCCATTTTTCTAGGCCCAGATCTCTATCATGAACGTCTCAAGGTTGTTCTCAAGGGAATCTGAGTCAAAGGTTGTTGCACTAAAGAAGCTGGTTTTAGCCATAATTCACTTGAAGACAATCAGTTCCAGATCTTCTTCTCTCTGGAAATTGGGACCTCTGCTTTCCAGTTTCCACCATATTCTATCCCCTTTTCTACCCTGATGACTGATCTGAAGACTGTTTCCCCTCCGTCAAGGAATGTTGACATGAAAGCTTTTGGCTGTAGGCTGAAGAGTATGCTATTCAAGAAGGTGGTGAGGATGCTATGAGAATATGAGCCAAGTTAGGAGAACGTGTTTTGAAATGTATTATATGGGGGGGAGGGGGCAACCTGGGTCACCACTTCTCTCCTCCTGCTGTAAAGGAATAGTGTGTGTGTGTGTGTATGTGTGTGTGTGTAGCATTCTTTTTTCCCCCTCCCCAACATTTCTCGGCTCTGGGCCATTTCTCATGTACTTCCAGTCATTGAATGACATCCTAGTGGTGTATCGCTGGCTTGAACACTGCTCGAACTAAGGCAGTGAGTGGTTGCTTCTCTTTTTCTGACACAGGAAAGCTATAAAGTCTTACTCCAAGTGTCTCTTTGTTATGCCACAAAAGAGAGATCGCTGTCCCTTTCTCTTTTCAGACAGAAAGACCCGATCCTAGACCATGACGGGCCCCTAAGTCAACTTCTCATTTTTCAGGTCAGAGAACATATTTCCTACTTGGGATACTTCACCCGACTCCAAGACCTACATCCATTAGAGTCACATAAGTACATGGATTTTATCGAAGGGACCTAGCAAATAGAACTCTGGAGTCTTAGGAGATAGAGGATCAATATTTCTTCAAAGATCTCACAGAATTCAGGAATCTTATGGTTACATTTGACCCTGGAGTCAATTATAGGAAGCTCAGAACTTAAAGCATCTTAAAAAGAATAGAACAAAATCTCTTGAATGACATTAAAATAGCCTTAAAGCTCTGAGACTAATCGATAAAAGTCAGGAAGTGCTCAATTAATGATGAAACCTACAAATAACTAAGCTTAATGGAGTGCAGTGCTGAGCTGTAGCAAGCACTATGGGGCATTACCTGAGAAAGTGGAGGTTTTATAACTAATTGATTTCTCATGATTGCTGGTGTATCTGGCCCTTTCCCTTTTCCCTCTGTGGTGGTGACAGGAAAAGGCCAGGTGAGGTTTGAGGGATGTGGGGAGGGATATATGGCTCCATACCTAAGTTCATTTTGCTTTCTTGGAATTCCTCATTGGAAAGTCCAAGTAGGGGGGTGATGTGCCAAGCATCAGGGCCTGACCTTTAGGGACAGCTCACACAGGACAGGCTTCACTGAGAGATTTCTGACTGACAGGTCCTCAAATGTAGGTCTGTTTTAAGGAAGTCAGTCTGTGCCAGGAAGAGAGGTTTTGCTAAAAGTTGCATGACCGGTGAAGGGTTGGCTGCTCACCCCTGGTCACCTAAATGATGGATTCCAACCTTGCACAACATGCGAAGTAATGTCAATAGGCCCTTTACTGAAAAATTCCCTTGAACTCAATGATTAAAATTCAGCCCAATTTTTAACTAACGTATCTTTCTCCAAGCACAGTATCACCAGGGTTAAGAGTTAGGGAATAAAGTCATATACAGATGAAACATGATTCTAATTTTCTGATTGGAGAGACACAGAAAAGTTATTAGGCTTATTCCAACCTAGTAAGCCAGAGATGAAATTGAGAAAAGGATGGCCGTTTTGTTTTTCTTTTTTAATCACCTTTTGGTTACAGCCATGACCACCTTTTTTAGTATTTTGCCTATCAGGTACTCACACACAAATGATTTTTTTAAGTGCCACTTAATGCTGTTAAAATTTACATATGGTGTCATTCCTGGTTTGGAGAGGTTTCCTGCCCGATGCCAGCATAAGCCTGCACGCACACACAGAGATTAAGAGTTAACTGGCACGGGTTTGCAGAGGTAGATATGATTGGGAACATAATTAAGAGAAGAGCGATGACCTCTCTCCTCACCAGCTTGTGAATTTAAACAGGACTACGCATCTGCCCATCACTGTGCTTCACAGCCTCAACTACGAAGGGGCACGCATGATCCCTCTTCCAAATGCATCTAGGATTCTAGCCTATCAACAAAGAAAGCAACTGGGCCTTTGATCCAGAGGCTATGATTTTTAGGCAAACAGTCGTTTGTGAAGTCCCTCGTGTTTCGGTGTCTGGGGGGGTGGGGGCTGTGTCCATGAGGGCCAGGTGCAGCCGGACCCTCCTGTACGCCGGCCTGGGAAGCGTGGGCCTCGCCCCAGACCACAACCACCGACTACTGAACTCACAACAGAAATGACAAGACTCGACATCCTTCCAAGCCTTAAGAATTACAGTATATGTATGAGATCAGTCTACTTGAACACGATTTCCCTTGAAGACTGCATTTCTCTTTTTCCCAGGCTTGCCTTGCCTCTCAGCAGCGCTGAGAAAGTAGATAAACAGTAATGTGATACCAACCGTGAACTGCTGGCTCTGTCGTCGCGGCCGTGTCTACAGACGGGAACAGAGGATTGGAGGAAGGGAGGAGACAGGAGGAACGGCATGCAAAAAAAGGGAAAATGGAAAAAAATGGAACAGATAATATATGAGCAAGCTTTCAAAGAACATCGCGTGACAAGCAATAATAAATGAAAAGCAAAAAGCATTTGAAGTGAGTTGCACTGTTTTAAGACATGCCTTCAGCTCAAAGCTGCGAGCCAGTGAGGAAAACAGTCAATTCTTTGGTTCTGGGGGTCTTGCCAGGACACATCTACTTGCTAGTCAATAGTCAGGGGAACATGCAAAGTGAGGAGAAACACCAGTGCAAACTCGGTGGCTCTGAACGCATTGGGGCTCAGGCCCATGGCAGAAAAGCTCAGGCGGCAGGCTGCCTAAACAAGGGATTCATACATTCAAACATTGCCTTTGTCTGAAGCCAGCCCACGCGGGCACTCGGGCCTCATGACTGCCAATCAGGCATCACTGAATCAATCGTACTTTTAGGATCCTTTTACGGCTTACGCTCAGATGCCTGCAGATGAACATATGAGCTCAAATTTTCCATCCCATGTTATTATTTCAGCAGAGTTCGGCTGGAAAGTTCCATTAATGGGGAGGCCATGGGAAGGAACATGTTAAAGGCTTCCAGACACACACCCCCTGCCCCCAGTCCCCCCTCCACCACCGTGAATCCCTTCTTCGCTTTGCGGCTCTAACTGTGTTGTTACAAACCTAAGAGCAGAAGACCAGCATGGACACACTCAAGTCCACACAACTTGCCAAACGCCACTTCCCATCCTGTAACCTTCCACAGCTTAGAGTAACCGGCCGTTCCTCTGTTCCCAGTGCAGCACCACGCTGGCTGCGGGGAGCTGCCAGGAGCCCTGCCTCCATGGCTGCAGCAGGAGATGGCGCATTCCCTTTCTCCCTGCCAGATGCACTTGCTGTGGAAGAAAATGTGGTCTTTCTCTCTCTTCTTCCATTCCGGATGCCGTTCAAGTTTTCTCCTCCTTCTGCTAGGCTTCAAACCAGGCCTGCTGTCCTGGCTCCTCTTCACAGGAAATTGCTCAAGGGGCTCAAGAAATTTTCCTTTGCTTTTTGGCTAGAGGGAAAGTGGGATAAATATCTAACAAAATGCACGATGACATTCTTTTTTTGAGTTGTCTTTTTTTTTTTTTTTTAAATACCACTCCGGTGGCCAACTTCATTCCAAAGTCAACCCATCTGGCCCCGCTTTAGTGTTCAGATCTATATGTTTCCAGTATGTCCCCTTCCACACTTCCCTTATGGCCAGGAAGGGATGGTGATGTGGTACAGGAGCTCGTCATCTGTAGCTGGGTGGCATCTTTGGTTAAAACTGCAAGTAGTTACCTGTCCTCCCCACAATCCCTCCCTTACCACAGCTGGTAATTATTTTCATAAGTTCTATAGACTCCAAAAGACTCTTCTGGACTCGACACAGGCAATGTTTAAATGCAATGGAATGCAAAAAAAAAAAAAAAAAAACCACAAATTTTTTTTTGGGTTTTTTTTTGGTCAAATGAGCCTGCTGCTTCTGATTTGTAAATTAGGACACATGAATTCACACCAGTGTTCCCCTTCAGTTGGCATGCTTTCCTCAGGACCCTATAACCATCAAAAAAAAAAAAATGCAGCCCTTTTAAGGAGCCAGAATTAACCAGCAGTCTGAGAAGCCACTGCAGCTTTAATGTCACTTATAGCTGAGTTTCTGAAGAATAGATGAAGGAAAGAAAAACATAAAATACACCGCATAAGAACACAATACTTACTTACAAGTCAAGTCTGTATGCATAAAATAGCAGTAAAAAACAATACCAAAAATTGTACAGTTGAAACATCTCTACACCAGATTGTCATGACCCAGTTGACACATCTCCTTACTTGAAACATCCAAGTCAAGTGTTAGTTTGAGGTGCTTTCAATTTAAGGGGCAGGATCAAATGCACATTTGTACAGAAGCATTTATATGCATGTTAATACATTTTATGGATAGGCACTGGCTCCTTTCCAAAAGGAGAAAAAAAGCAATAAACACTTTGGCTTGTTATTTTAATAGTAGCGCTTCTCATAAGCTTTAATTTTAGCAGGTAAATAATTAGCATAAAATGAAAGAAAGGAGGTGGAGTAAATCCTAAACGGTAGAGCCCTCAAAAATCTATCATAGCATGAACCGATGATTCCTTGATTTACTGTCTTCCTGTATCACAGCGCTGTCTGCTTTATCAGGAAACTAAACTAAGTGACCCTAGGCGTCGTCAGCTTCCACGTGGGCCCTAGAAAATGAGCGAGCAAAGTCCACAGTGCAGCTTGCTTCCCCATTCTGGGGATGGGAAATCCATCAATTGTACCCAAAAGGGGAGGAGAAAGGGATGCTGAGGAGTGGAAGGGGGTGGGGTGGGGGACATCTTCTAGAACAGCTAAAAGCAAACACACATTCAAGTCAAACCACACAGTCACTGCAGCTAGAAATGGCAAAGCCATGATCAGCAATGGAGCAGGAGAATGTAGCAGATACACAGAGTTCGAAGGAGGTTTGAGGGTGTGTCAGGGGAGGCGCTGATTCTATTTCCCTAAGAGCATCTGGTGTGTTATCTGAACAGAGGCTATTTCAAGTAAAGAATTAAAAAAAAAAAATTCTTTAGAAGTGACTTTGTGCTCCCTGCAGGAGAGCACTGTAACAGAATCTAATTCTCCCTTGTAATTGCATTATGACTTCATGCAGAAACCACAGACACCCTGGCTCTGAAGTGAGTGCCGCTCTGTGAAGTAGGATTTATTAGGGGTGTCTTAATCAGAAGACTGGCAACATGTACCGGCCCACTCCTGTGAATCAACTTGTGGGGTCACTCTGTTGTTTGATAACATTCGAAGGGTATAGGCAAAATGCAAAGAGCAGATTTCCAAAGTAGGTTAGAAACGCTGTCATTAGCTTGAAAAACGAAGGTGCCTAATTGTCCTAACAAAAACCTTTTTCAACTTCATTTTCCTGCTGCCTTTAGAAAGTCACCTGGGCTAGACCTCTGAGTAAAAGACTTCTCAGGGAGTTGAGTTGGGCTTATGGCGGTTGAAGGCTTATGGAATTAAAAAGGCCTTGCTGAGCTATTGTCTCTATTTTAGTTTTAATTACAACGAGGGCAAATTTATAGTACATTTATTTTATGTGGTCAACAACAACAACAAAAAAACCAATCCCACGTTCTTGCAAACCCAGTAAGTGTGTACGGCCTTAATGGTCACTCTCTAGCTGTTTTATGAGTATAATCAAACAAGGTATCCAAGGGCAGGCCCTGCACTATTTGAAAGATGCCCATTTCACTAAATATTGACTTCTCAGTCTCCCAGCCATACAAACAGTTTATGGCATTGTATCTTGAATAAATTAAACGTCACCTATATTTCATGTGGCAGTATAAGATATTTAGAAAATGCAAAGGCTCTGACAGTGTGGGAGATTAGAGACAGTGGCCATTTAACCAAGTAACCAAAAAACTGAACTAAAACTAAACTAAAATAAAAAAAATTTGCTGCACGAGAGGCAGCTGGGCAATATTTAGTTGAAACAGTCATGTGTAAGCTCCACTGTGGCACATTCTAATCCTTTCATATGGATTCTCTCCAACTTAGAATTGTTCATTGAGTGTGACAGACTGGAGGTTTAAAACTAATCCATAAATTAGTCCGTGGTCTCAAACACAACGGGCGCCATAAATGAAAATGAAAATCCTAGAATAAAATTAAATTCACAACCTTAAATACTTTTTTCTTTACCAATTGCTCTGTGGTGCTCCTGCTTTCCAATGCAGATTCACTGCAAGACTGCATTTTGGGGTGTGTGCGAGCAGGGTGTACATTAAGAAATGCACAGTGTAATAACCCAGAGAACCCAATCTGCTCAAAAGCAGAGCTTAATTGTAAAGAATTTAAATTCTCCCATTTTGATTGTCATAAGCTTAAATGAAAGCATACTAAGCAGTCCAGACATATTTTAATACACTTTCTCCGAGTTTATTTTCTTAACTAAAGTCAATAAGGAGCCAATGGGTTTTCTTAATTGAATTCCCCTTCAGTTTGTGTTACAGAGCTGCTTTAAATCTAGACACTAGGGCAGGCAAGGAATTCCCCTGACAATTTTATTTTCCAAGTTGTGTTCTGCCGGCCAATATATATTAAATATAGTTTTTTTTATTCTTTTCTTTATTTATTTCTGACTTATTTAAAATCTATTGAAAGCAAAAAATACGTGCTGGCAAATTAAACTTTGAAATTTATTTTCTACTGGGTTCCCAGTTCATTTTCTTTCCAACTATGTCTTGCTTTAATTAAACTCCCATTTCTCAGGGACTGGAGACAGGGGACAAGAATGGAACAGAGGCTAAGAGGCCCAAAATAAGAGTGATGATCAAGGTCTCTTCACTTCTTCAAGTCCCTCTTCCCCTCCCCTTCCCAGGAAGAGATGGGGCGCCACAGAACAGCAGGATGGAGAGTGGCTTGGTTTTTTGTTAAGCAATTTCAAGTTTTTGTTAGTTAAAAGCCTCTTCAGAATTGTTCACTAGGGCTGCTGGGCCCCTGAGATCTTTTCATTTGCAAACCAGATGTTCTGAAAATAATAGGAACCTGTACACTTGTCTTTTCCTTTCCTCTCGCGGGGGGGGGGGGGGGGGGGGGGGGGAAGGACTTTTCTCTCCCCTGGGGTGGGTGAAGGCTGTGTGGAAGGAGGGACAGAGGGGGAGGCAATGCTCTCACCTGGGAAGGCACAGGTGAGGGCATTGCAGTGAGGGTGAAGGTGGAGGGACGGGGCTCTAGAAGTAGAAGCTTCTAGTCATCTCTGGGTAGATGCTGGAGGGCCAGGTCCTTCCAAGTCTGACCTTTCCCACCATCAAGATGGTCACTTTCTGAGCTCAGGAAACCCACATAGATGACACTAGTTTTCTGCACTGTGGACAAATCCTTACTATGGAAACAGGTAAAATCTTTATCTCTTGGATGATTTT